TTAAAAAAACATTTTGGGATTCCCGAGAAGGTTTTACTTTGTTGAAAAACACATTTGGGGCCCTTAAGAAGGTTTTATATTCTAAAAACACATTTGCAGCCCCCGAGAAGGTTTCGCCTCTTAAAAAAAACATTTGGGACTCCCGAGGTTTTATTTTTTTAAAAACACATCTGGGGCCCTTGAGAAGGTTTTATATTCTAAAAAAAAAACTCTTGGGGCCCCCGAGAAGATTTCGAATCTTAAAAAAAATCATTTGAGGCTTCCGAGAATGTTTTGTTTTGTTAAAAACACATTTGGGGCTCTTGAGAAGGTTTTATATTCTAAAAAAAAACATTTGGAGCTCCCGAGAAGGTTTCGCCTCTTAAAAAAAAAACATTTGGGTCTCCCGAGAAGGTTTTATTTTGTTAAAAACACATTTGGGGCCCTTGAGAAGGTTTTAAATTCTAAAAAAAAACATTTAAAGCCTCCGAGAAGGTTTCGGCTATAAAAAAAAACATTTTGGGATTCCCGAGAAGGTTTTACTTTGTTAAAATACACATTTGGGGCCCTTAAGAAGGCTTTGCATTGTAAAAAAAAAAGTTTAGAGCCCCCGAAAAGATTTCGCCTATAAAAAAAACATTTTGGGAATCCCGAGAAGGTTTTACTTCGTTGAAATACACATTTGGGGCCCTTAAGAAGGTTTTATATTCTAAACAAAAACACTTGGAGCACCCGAGAAGGTTTCGCCTCTTAAAAAAAAAAACATTTGGGACTTCCCAGAAAGTTTTATTTTGTTAAAAACGCATTTGGGGCCCTGAGAAGGGTTTATATTCTAAAAAAAAAAAACATTTGGAGCCCCCGAGAAGGTTTCGCCTATAAAAAAAAACATTTTGGGGTTCCAGAGAAGATTTTACTTTGTTACACACATTTGGGACCCTTAAGAAGGTTTTATATTCTAAAAAAAAACATTTGGAGCCCCCGAGAAGGTTTCGGCTATAAAAAAAAAAATTTGGGATTCCCGTCTTACTTTGTTAAAATACACATTTGGGACCCTTAAGAAGGTTTTATATTCTTAAAAAACACTTGCAGCCCCCAAGAAGGTTTCGCCTCTTAAAAAAAAAATTTGGGGCTCCCGACAAGGTTTTATTTTGTTAAAAAACACATTTGGGTCCCCCGAAAATGTTTGACATTTTTCTTTTAAAAGAAGAGCCCCTGGGAAGGTTTCTCTTTCTTAAAAAACACAATTCCGGCCCCCGAGAACGTTTCGCTTCGATAAAAAAAAAATATTTGTGACCCCCGAGAAAGATTCACATACTTAAAACAACACTTAGGATCCTCATCATCGTCATCTTTAAAAAAATAATAAAAGACGATAGAATGTATTCATTACACTATAAATTGTTAAAATTGATAATTAAGTGGAAGTTCTTAGTTAAATTCATTATGTTCTTCCACAACTTGCTATTAGTTGCTGCTTCCTTACACATCCTCTAATCCTACGTATTTATAAATTTTAAATCAAAGCCTTCGTTCTGACATAGAAGCACCTAAAGCTTTTCATTTGTTTGCAAGATTTATTATTCACAAAAAAGGGTTCCCGAACGCGACGTTGTAACAATTTTGACTCCTGTCCCAGCTTCGATCCTAAATAAAAATTTCGTCAATTCCACATCGATCTGCGCTTTAACGAATTTATATAAGATCGCAGTGTGCAAAACGTTTATACGCTGAATCCCCCAGACGCATCGGTGCGAAATAATCTCTCCAAAGTTGAGTTTCACCCCTGAATGTAGCAGTTCGGCTCAGAGCTGTACTTCTACTAATGGACTAACGATTATCCTGATTTCTGAGATGAGACGATAACTTTTTTGAAGGAGCACCAAACTGTTAAGCATTCAAACTTAGTCGGACGCATTAGCACTTGCAGGAATTCTATTAAACGATATTGGCGTTGATATGGAAATGGGGCGGTTTCTAAGTTGTCTGATTTTTGTCGGACTGTTGTTATGCAGAAGGGATGCTGTTGTTGTTTAATTAAGCTGAAAGCACTCGTAAAGACAAACACGGGCAATAATAACAGTAATAATATTGACTCAGACAGACGGCGCGTTGATAAATTAAAACGTCTAAACAAGGCTAAATTAAATAGAAGTTTTTGTGGAATATCAGTATGAATTTTAATCCATTTGAAAAGGGTGTATCACAATGACATGGCTGCACTAGCGCGCCAAATAAAGCATTTGTGAGGGGTGTCGGATCTTCATAAATGTCTAAAGAAATGATTTATTATGCCAGTGGCTTTTGGAAACGAGAAGATAATGGATATTTTTATTATACTGACGTATCCATTATGAAGTCACAATATAGGGTATTTCAATCAATCATTCACAAATTTGAAAGTCGTAGTAAACTCTTATCTGAACATTGCACCCACTCATCTGGCGTACATTTGCAGAAATACATCATATATTATTCAAATTAGAGCGAAAACGGGGATTTTTTTGTGCGCCGGTTGGCGACGTTTGACCTTCAAACGATGAGATATCGATGAGGCCGACCGCAATGTGCTTTGACAAATCGCGCAAGAACTTTGCAAGCTTTATGACAATAATAAAACGCTTATCGCGGAGTTTTTGCGGGAGGGGAAAAGGGGATTAGCTCGTACAGGGGTGCTGACAACGCCTGAAAAAACCCCAAATCGAAAAAACTTTCACTACTGTTAAAAATTTCCCCTGTAATAAAAACTTTCACGTTTCTTATTTGTTATCGATACGAGATTACCTTTCAGAATTTTCCGTAAGCGGTCTTGTAACTATTGCACGGTTCCCGCTCTGCTTGGCGATTGACGGCTCAACGAAACGAAGGGGCTGATGACCTTCGAGCAGTTGTCTCCTGGCGTCGCTCGATTTTTACGTGAACTTTCAACGATATTTTTATAACATCACTCCAGAAAGACATGAATAAACTAAAATTAGTAAAACATTGTTTTGGTTATTTTTAGCATGTAAGGAATCGGGGCAGATTTTCCTTCGATTCAATCTAGAACTAATAAGAAACTGTTCCATTTCGTGGAAAATATTTTAGTCTATGTGGTTATTGTGAGTCAGAAGGATTTTCTTCTTAAAGTATATTTCTCATCAAACTTGAGTATCAAGATAATTTAAGAAAGAAAACCGAATAAAAGGAGTGCGCTACCAACCAATAAATTATAAGCTTCTTATGCACTTCCACAGCATGGACGAGAAAGTTGTATACTGGCATCAAGATAGTTAATAAGAATAACAAAATTTTCAAAACTTGTATGCTGTCTAAGTTAGTATAACAACAGCTCGAGGACAGAAAGCGGAATCAAAAACTCTAAAAATAATTTCGCCGTTTGTTAAGCGCTCCCCTTTTTCCTATTTAAAAAACACTCTTTTGCGTGATGTACTCAAGCAGCAATTTCCAGAGGGTCGACTCTTGACAAATGTGCATCTCGCTTGGCTCGGGCTAATTCCTATATCGCAGAACCAGCATCAGCTTATTGTCTAAACTTCAACTCGGAGATTTCGGACTGACGATGTTTTATCTTAATTGTTTAATCTCGGAATGCTTTTAAATACTTTTTGGTCTGTTCGGCATCATCTGTTTGTTTTCTGTAAGGGTTCCAAAGAGATAACTTACTTCAGCGTTAACCTAGCCGGGTCAACTTTCTTTATTCATTTTTATGAAACTTATACGAGACTAATGGCTTTTCCCCATGAGCGAATGCACTTTGTCTTGTCGCCACTTTGCAGATTAAAAAAGCTTGTTAATGTATGTTTTAGAAGATGCGTGTGTGCTGTCTGGTTTCGTTTCGAGTAATCCGAGGCCTGCAGAGCGTTGGAAAACCCGAATGAAGTTAATTAACGTTGTTGTGTTACGAAAGAGATTTAGGAATGGCGGTGACATAAATACATAGCTTTGATCTTGAACGTACAAGGACCTATTGGGGAAAAATGATACTTAGTTTGCATATCTTTCATAACGTGGAGTTTTAATTACCGTAAATCCACTTCGTTTTTCCATTTTTTTCTACTTGTTAACATACAGAGATAAAGTAAGATTACGATCAATGTTTACGTATTTATTTTCGAAGTATTATATTTTGCTAATTTTTCTGAATTTCTCCTTTTTCATTCCTACTTTCACCATCAAACCAGTTTGGGAATGGATGCTGGGTTCTAAAAATTTATTTAAAAAATTTAATAGAACAACTAGGATTAAGAATTGAAGAAGCAGCGCACTGATAAGCAACGTGCAAAAACACGATAAGGACCAGTCACGTATAACATCTCCGAGATCATGATACTTTCAAGACTCAAACTCACGATTGTGACCGTGATAGGACCCAAAGAATCCTGCAAGCTGAAGAACAAATTTCGAAGAACGTCGAAGAAAAGCCTGACATCACCAGTCGTCGACTTACAGCTGAAGTTAAAGTTTCGCAGTTTGTAGTGCATCGTACATTAAAAGAACAAGGCTTCAAAGAAAATATTCCTCGACCTTTTTTCATCCCCTAAATAATAAAAAAACTACCCTTAACCCATTTTCATACCCTAAATCCCAAAACCATGAAGTACATTCGTCCTTTTTCGTCCTTTTCGTCCTTTTCGTCCTTTTTCGTCCTTTTCGTCCTTTTCGTCCGTTTTCGTCCTATTCGTACTTTACGTCCTTTTCGTTCTTTTTGGTCCTTTTCATCCTTTTTCGTCCTTTTTCGTCCTTTTCGGTCCTCTTCGTCCTTATCATCCTTTCCCTCCTTTTTCGGCCTTTTTCATTCTTTTCGTCCTATTTCGTCATTTTTCGTCTTTTTTTGTCCTTATTTTCGTGTTTAGTTCTTTTTCGTTCTTTTCGTATTATATCGTCCTGTTTCGCCCTTTTTCGTCCTTTTCGTCCGTTTTCGTCCTATTCGTACTTTATGTCCTTTTCGTTCTTTTTGGTCCTTTTCGCCCTTTTTCGTCCTTTCCGTCCTTTTCGTCCTTTTTCGCACTTTTCGTCCTTTTTCATCCTTCTCCGTTCTTATTATCCTTTATCGTTCTGTTCGTTTTGTTTCGTCCTTTTTCGTCCTTTTCGTCCTGTTTCGTCCTGTTTCGTCCTTTTCCGTCCTTCTCGTCCTTTTCGTATTTTTCGTCCTTTTTGGTCCTTTCCCTCCTTTTTCGTCCTTTTTCGTCCTTTTCGGTCCTCTTCTTCCTTTTCATCCTTGCCCTCCTTTTTCGACTTTTTTCATTCTTTTTGTCCTGTTTCGTCATTTTTCGTCTTTTTTCGTCCTTATTTTCCTGTTTAGTCCTTTTTCGTTCTTTTCGTCCTATATCGTCCTGTTTCGCCCTTTTTCGTTCTTTTCGTCCGTTTTCGTCCTCTTCGTTCTTTTCGTCCTTTTTCGTCCTTATTCGTCCTTTTTCGTCCTTTTCGGTCCTCTTCGTCCTTTTCATCCTTTCCCTCCTTTTTCGACCTTTTTCATTCTTTTCGTCCTGTTTCGTCATTTTTCGTCTCTTTTCGTCCTTACTTTCCTGTTTAGTCCTTTTTCGTTCTTTTCGTCCTATATCGTTCTGTTTCGCCCTTTTTCGTTCTTTTCGTCCGTTTTCGTCCTATTCGTACTTTACGTCCTTTTCGTTCTTTTTGGTCCTTTTAGTCCTTTCCGTCGTTTTTCGTCCTTATTTGTCCTTTTTCGTCCTTTTCGTCCTTTTTCGTACTTTTCGTCCTTTATCGTCCTTTTTCATCCTTCTTCGTCCTTATTATCCTTTTTCGTTCTGTTCGTTCTGTTTCGTCCTTTTTCGTCCTTTTCGTCGTGTTTCGTCCTGTTTCTTCCTTTTTCGTCCTTTTTCGTCCTTCTCGTCCTTTCCGTATTTTTCGTCCTTTTTGGTCGTATCTCCCCTTTTTCGTCCTTTTTCGTCCTTTTCGGTCCTCTTCGTCCTTTTCATCCTTTCCCTCCTTTTTCGACCTTTTTCGTTCTTTTCGTCCTATATCGTCCTGTTTCGCCCTTTTTCGTCCTTTTCGTCCGTTTTCGTCCTATTCGTACTTTACGTCCTTTTCGTTCTTTTTGGTCCTTTTCGTCCTTTTTCGTCCTTCTCGTCCTTTTCGTATTTTTCGTCCTTTTTGGTCCTTCCCCTCCTTTTTCGTCCTTTTCGGTCCTCTTCGTCCTTTTCATCCTTTCCCTCCTTTTTCGACCTTTTTCATTCTTTTCGTCCTGTTTCGTCATTTTTCGTCTTTTTTCGTCCTTATTTTCCTGTTTAGTCCTTTTTCGTTCTTTTCGTCCTATATCGTCCTGTTTCGCCCTTTTTCGTCCTTTTCGTCCGTTTTCATCCTATTCGTACTTTACGTCCTTTTCGTTCTTTTTGGTCCTTTTCGTCCTTTGCGTCCTTTGCGTCCTTTTCGTCCTTTTTCGTCCTTATTCGTTCTTTTTCGTCCTTTTCGTCCTTTTTCGTACTTCTCGTCCTTCTTCGTCTTTTTTCATCCTTCTTCGTCCTTATTATCCTTTTTCGTTCTGTTCGTTCTGTCTCGTCCTTTTTCGTCCTTTTCGTTGTGTTTCGTCCTGTTTCGTCCTTCTTCGTGCTTTTTCGTCCTATTCGTACTTTACGTCCTTTTCGTTCTTTTTGGTCCTTTTCGTCCTTTTCGTCCTTTTGCGTCTTCATTATCCTTTTTCGTTCTTTTCCGTATTTCTCGTCCTTTTTCGTCCTTTGTCGTCTCCCTCATTCTCCCATTTATCACTGTCTCTCATTCTTCCATTTATCACTCTCTCTCATTCCCCATTTATCACTCTCACTCATTCTCCCATTTATCACTCACTCTTTCTCACATTTATCACCCTTTCTCTCATTCTCCCATGTATCACCCTTTCTCTCATTCTCCCATTTATCACTCTTTTCCTCATTCTCCCATTTATCGCTTTCTCTCTCATTCTCCCATTTATCACCCTGTCTCTCATTCTCCCATTTATCACTTTCTCTCTCATTCTCCCATTTATCGCTCTTTTCCATTCTCCCATTTATCACTCTTTCTAATTCTCCCAATTATCACTCTCTCTCATTCTCCCATTTATCACTCTCTCTCATTCTCCCATTTATCACTCTCTCTCATTCTCCCATTTATCACTCTTTCTCATTCTCCCAATAATCACTCTCTCTCATTCTCCCATTTATCACTCTTTCTCATTTTCCCATTTATCACCCATTCTCTCATTCTCCCATTTATCACTCTTTCTCCAATTCTCCCATTTATCGCTTTCTCTTTCATTCTCCCATTTATCACCCTTTCTCTCATTCTTCCATTTATCACTGTCTCTCATTCTCCCAATTATCACTCTCTCTCATTCTCCCATTTATCACCCTGTCTCTCATTCTCCCATTTATCACTCTCTCTCATTCTCCAATTTATCACTGTCTCTCATTTTTATAACTTAAATCCCAAAAATTACCCTTATATTAATCATCCCCTAAATTCAAAAAGCTAAAAAAAAAAATGGGTGGTTTTCTCATCCCCTAAATTGAAAACCACCCATATTTTCAGTGCAATTTCGTCTTTTTTCGTACCTTTTCGTCCTTTTCATCCTTTATCGTCCTTATTATCCTTTTTCGTTCTTTTTCGTCCTGTTCGTCCTTTTCATCCTTTTTCGTCCTTTTCTTCCTTATTATCCTTTTTCGTTCTTTTCGTCCTGTTTCTTCCTTTTTCGTCCTTTTCGTCCTTTTTCGTCCACTTTCTTCTTTTTTCGTCCTTTGTAGTCCTTATTATCCTTTTTCGTCCTTTTTCGTTCTTTTCATACTTTTTCGTCCTTTTTCGTCGTTTTGGTCCTTTTCGTCCTTTTCGTCCTTTTCATCCTTTTTCGTCCTTTTCATACTCATTATCCTCTTTCGTCGTTTTTTGTTCTTTTCGTCCTTTTTCGTCCTTATTCGTCCTTTTCGTCCTTTTTCGTCCTTTCTCGTCTTTTTTCGTCCTAATTGTCCTTTTTCGTTCTTTTCGTCCTGTTTCGTCCTTTTTCGTCCTTTTTCGTCCCCTTTTGTCTTTTTCGTCATGTTCCATCCTTTTTCTTCCTTATTGTCCTTTTTCGTCCTTTTTCGTCCCCTTTTGTCTTTTTCGTCATGTTCCATCCTTTTTCTTCCTCATTATCCTTTTTCGTTCTTTTCGTCCTGTTTCTTCCTTTTTCGTCCTCTTCGTCCTTTTTCGTCCTTTTTCGTCCTTTTCGTCCTTATCGTTCTTTTTCGTCCTTATTATCCTTTTTCGTCCTTATTCGTACTTTTCGTCCTTTTTCGTCCTTATTCGTTCTTTTCGTCCTCTTTCGTCATTTTTCGTCCTTTTTCGACTTTTTCGTCCTTATCGTCATTCTCGTCCTTTTCGTCATTTTGTAATCCCTTAAAAGGGGAAAAAACTTCAATTCTGGACAATTTAGATCGATTTTCATCCTCGAACTTGCTGTTCGATACACAAAACAACCCTTAAGAAGGTGAAAATTTCTCAGGAAGAATCTGAAACCTTTTTATAAGCCCCAACAGTGTTTTTTTTAAGTAAAACTTTCTCGGGGGCTCCAGGTGTTTTTTTGTTAAGAATATAAAACATTCTCGGGGGCCCAAACTGTGCTTTAAGAAAATGAAAACTTCTCAGGGGCTCTTTTTTAAGAACGAAGAAAGCGAAACCTTCTCAGGGGCTCAAGTGTTTTTTTGAACATAAAACATTCTCGGGGACCGAACTGTGTTTTAAGTAGGTGAAACTTTTTTAATAAAGAAAAATGTGAAACCTACGGTTTGACTTAATGTAGAATGGATGGTATAAATCTTATCTTTTCAAATTTGAGTTTACAATGTATAGGTTGTCGTAAAGGTGCTCGGAAGTTCCCAGTATGCAACCCATGAATGCAAACTAGCCTCTGATGTTAAATGTGGTTCTCGAGATCCAATTACAGATATTTTTCGGCCGTTCGGTAAAGTATCCATTGCCGCCTTTCACGGATATTACATTTCCTCGTCAAAATTAATCACAACTTTCCTATCTGTGCTTCCATCCATAAAATTTTGCGGATATTCTCCGTTATTTATCTCGCGAGGCCTGCGACACGACCCACATCGACCGATTTCGTCTCGGTTCATTTTTAAATAATAACCTGATGTTAACAGGCGAACTTTTCAAATCTAATGGAATTGCATGATGATTGTCAATAAAGCCGGAACGAGTTAATCCAATCGCACAAGTCTCATTCCAGGAATCTTATTTCGCATCGGAAACTCAAAAACAAAACGAAGAATTTGGTGGCTTATTTTATAAGGGCACGGAACAGCAATTGACCGAAAACTTTGTAATTTAACTTTTATTAAATATTGACAGAAGCTTCAATTGCCGAATCCCGTCATTCCATTTCGCCAAATCCGCGCTCATCTACCTGTGTGTGTGTACTTTTGATTATTAAAAAAGTTTGGCTCATGTCGGCGCCGGTTAAGTGGAAAATTTTGATTTCGCTGGATCTCCTGAAAGCCGAGTTTCATATTTTATGATGTGCGAATTGGCGTCGCCAATAAAATGAGGCCACTTTCGCCCGTAAAGTGATACGTGTTTCTTTGGTAACATTCATAACACTTCGGCGGCTTTGCTTGATAAATAGAGAGATAAAACGGTCTAATTCGACGCTGCCTCCAATAAAAGGACCCTAAAATTATAATTTTCTTCTCTAATAGAGTGAACTCAAGGGTGATCTGTCTCTAACAATGACAAAAGACTGCGCTCGTGAGTATTATACTTAATATCTGACGAATTTATTTTCTTAAAGAAATGATGAGAGATTATAAAATAAATTGAGTTCAGAAGTCCTGAAGTATGGCCCGAATTAAATTAAAATGGATCTGACAAAGGCTGTCCGAATTTGCTCAAATAACTTGTTTGCGATGAGTTCATCTAATGATGTTTCTGCAGAGGATTGTTTGTTAGGTATGTCTACAGAACTTCTGCTTTAAGTGGATCTCCACTTAAATCTTGGACAAAGTTTAAAAATCTTCACAAAGGAAACAAATACAAAACAAACATATTTTTTTCGAACTCAGCTCAATCCACTCTCTTCGTATTACACGGATTTAAGGAACAGAAAATCTGAAATGAAACATGTTGCATGTAGTGTCAAGGTTCGACGCAAGCTTACTCTTACAGCAGTGGCAATTAACTGACTGCTTAAATTTGTAGCAATCTTCACTGTGTGTGATTTTGTAAAACGAAATAAAGCGAAAGCATTGTGTTATAGACAAGAGCTAATAACTCGTGGTTAAGTTTAGACATGAACAAGGTTAATTTTACGTGATTAAGTTAGTCCTCGCCTCGTTACGCAGATCCCTGCAATTCTCAGTTCTCTTGGTTACTCAGACTAGCCACACAGCGTTTGTTTGTGCACAATTTACATAAAGGAACCACACTCGCTCTAATGTAAGTTAGTTACGTCTTAACCGTATGAACTCTCCCAAAAAAAGACAATCGCCTGGAATTACATAAAGAATTTCCCGGAAGGAATTTAATCTCCACTACTCAAAGGCGGGTTCATTAGGTGGTTTAGTTAATGGCAATGTGCCTGATCGTTGCTTACGTGCCGATTACCCTCTTTTTATTCCTCTCTGTTGCTGCTCGATCCAAAGAAAAACTTAAGAAGGTTAGCTATTGTCTGCTTCAACGTAACGAGGTTACAACTAGTCGCTCTGAAATTAAATATCATTTAAATTTATAAGATAATTATTCAGTATGTCTGACACGAGGAAGTTTACACTAACATAATAAAACTTTTAAACTTTCGTTACTTTATAGGTGTATAAGCGACTGCGGAACTTTCTGAAAATATTCGCTCTAACTTGACTCGAATAACTATGCATTGTGCACAGCTACAAAAGTACGGGCTCTGAAAAACTAATTATGACGACCATTTGCATAAACTTGTATTTCACTCGAAGTTTAATTATACATGCAACGTATTATCTCGCAAGTTGGGCTGGAAGTAACCGGAAGTGGAAATTCGCTTCTTCGCATACTGGTTGCGGCACCAACTGTACGAAATCGGTATCGATGTGGAAGAAAAATCAACACAATCAATGTACGTAAATATTACACTCTCGATCAGCCGAAGAGTGCAATTATGGCGGAAACTGTGTCACTTCAGTTTCTTATTTGTCAAGAATCTAAATGTGTGTATACAGAAGGCTAAAATTTTATGTGTGGTTATTAATTATTGAGATTTTATTTTCTTTTAACCGCTGCTGCTTGTAATCTGAACATGCTTCTGTCGAAGTAGAAACATAAACAGTAAAAACGTCAAAGTTAAGCATTGTACTGAGAAATTAAGAATATCTACATTTTTCCCAATGGTTGCAATTTAGGGATTCGGGGAGGTTAACCTCGCCACTGATTGCTACCTTACACGAAAAGGTTTCGCCTCATCACAAAAAAATATGGGGCACTGAGAAATTCACATTCTTAAAAAAAATGTGCCCCCGAGAAAGATTCATACACAATCTTCAATAACACAGTTGAAGCCCCCGAGACGATTTCACCACATTCTTCCTTCTTCAAAAAGCCCCTGAGAAAGAGCCTCTGAGAAGGTTTCACCTCCTTAAAAAAAATTTTGGGCTCCCCGAGAGGGTTTCATATGTTTCCTTCTAAAAAAAGGGTCCTTGAGAAGGTTTCACCTTTTAAAAACACAGTTGGAGCCCCCGAGAAGGTTTAATATTAAAAAAAAAAAACACCTGAGGCCCCCAAGAAGGTTTCGCCTCCTTAAAAAAATTGGGGCCCCGAGAAGGTTCCATATGTTTCCTTCTTAAAACAAAGAGCCCCTGAGAAGGTTTCACCTTTCTAAAAATACAGTTAGGGCCACCGAGAAGGTTTTATATATAGAAAAAAACACCTGAGGCTCCCAAGAAAGTTTCGCCTCCTTAAAAAAAAATTGGGGTCCCGGAGAAAGTTCCATATTATTCCTTCTTTAAAAACGAGCCCCTCAGAAAGTTTCACCTCCCTGAAAAACACAGATGGGACCCCCGAGAAGGTTTCACATTATATCTCCTTAAAAAGAAAGCCCCTGAGAAGGTTTCAACTTTCTAAAAACACAGTTGGAGCCACCGAGAAGGTTTTACATCTAAAAATAAAATACTTGGGGTCCCTGAGAAGGTTTCACATTATTCCTCTTTAAAAAAAGAGCCCTTGAGAAGCTTCTACTTTTTTAAAAATACAGTTGGGGCCACCGAGCAGGTTTTATATATAGAAAAAAACACCTGAGGTTCCCGAGAAAGTTTCGCCTCCTTAAAAAAAATTGGGGTCCCAGAAAAAGTTCCACATTATTCCTCCTTTAAAAAAGAGCCTATGAGAAGGTTTCACCTCCCTGAAAAACACTGGGACCCCCGATAAAGTTTCACATTATATCTCCTTAAAAAGCAAGCCCCTGAGAAGGTTTCACATTTCTAAAAGCACAGTTGGAGCTACCGAGAAGGTTTTACAAATAAAAATAAAATATTTGGGGTCCCTGAGAAGGTCTCATATTATATCTCCTTAAAAAGGAAGCCCCTGAGAGAGTTTCACCTTTCTAAAACACAGTTGGGGCCACCGAGAAGGTTTTACATCTAAAAATAAAATACTTGGGGTCCCTGAGAAGGTTTCATATTATTTCTCTTTAAAAAAAGTGCCGTTGAGAAGCTTTTACCTTTTTAAAAATACAGTAGGGGCTACCGAGCAGGTTTTATATCTAGAAAAAAACACCTGGGTCTCCCGAGAAAGTTTCGCCTCCTTAAAAAAAATGGGGTCTCCGAGAAAGTTCCACATTATTCTTTCTTTAAAAAAGAGCCCCTGAGAAGGTTTCACCTCCCTGAAAAGCACAGATGGGACCCCCGAGAAGGTTTCACATAATATCTCCTTAAAAAGGAAGCCCCTAGAAGGTTTCACCTTTATAAAAACACAGTTGGGGCCACCGAGAAGGTTTAACATCTAAAAATAAAATACCTGGGGTCCCTGAGAAGGTTTCATATTTTTTCTCTTTAAAAAAAGTGCCCTTGAGAAGCTTTTACCTTTTTAAAAATACAGTTAGGACCACCGAGAAGGTTTTATATCTAGAAAAAAACACCTGAGGCTCCCGAGAAAGTTT